TCACAATGTGAGACTCTTCCTTTGGTTTTATATGACAAGTGATGATGTTACACTCTGTAAAAGGTATCTTTCAGAGTATGTGACCATGCACTTGGCAGCTAGATTGTGGAAGGTCCGTGCCACATGTCTATGGACACGTTTTTCAGTTCTGTACACTTGGATGCCACATGTGTTTGCCTGGGCTACGGATGCAGTGCAGCTCATGTTAGACACGTACCATGCAGGCAGGTGTTATGTTTACCTTTTTAAATAAAGCAAACAAGATAATACTTTAAGCAGACCAAACTTCCTTATGCACACACAAAAAAAAAGGCTTAAAAATATATAATCCCAACCCCCAACTTGGACCTAGAACTATGACACAAGCCAAGGTCTTTTAATCTAGAACCCATCAGGACCCATAGTCTGAATGGCAAACTGTGGAAGAGTAAATAATATAAAATTAACCAGAACCTGACTCTGGGAAGAGAAGGTTCAAGTCAGAAAACACAGTAACATTACTAAGACATCTGCCTCTAATAAATGGTAACTTTGAGCAGGGAAATAAAGCTGTACCCACAGAGATTTGGAGAAAACTGCAGAAACAAGCACATTAATAGCTTTTCTGGAAAAAAATTGGAAACAAAAGCAAGGAGTTATCAATTCATAAGAAACTGTAATAGCAAATTTAGATAAACCAAAGAGAATTTCTGATTTATGTCCTTTTGGACTATTTTACAAATGTATTATGGCCGAGGTTGCACAATCTGTACAAGAAGGAGTAATCCTTTTAAAAGTTTTCAAAGAGAAAATATTTAAACATATTATACACATAATACTACAATCACAGTTCTGGTGGCTGCCCATTTCCTACATTCCCTAAGAGACTCCTTTGTAAGAGGGAGCATGCTGAGATATTTCTTCATCATGCTAAAGCAGAGCAAGGAACAGACTGCCTTAAGGAATTCAATGTGGCTTCTAGTTAAACCACAACTCTTGGGTTGAATATGCCAAGATTTCCAAAAACTGGCAAATTACACAAACTATAAGTTACACACAAATTAACAATCAAAAATGTCTCATTTTTTGTTTTATTAATCTACTTTTTCACAAGACAAGGCAATGCCTTTCAGATAGACCAGCTAGTCATTTTTAAATTCATACTGTATTTTGAGATGCTCTTCACATGTAGTAAGTTAGGTCAAATAATGGAATAAAGATGCTTAAGAACACAATTTTAAGATATGTCCACATTCTTCAACAGATCTTAAAGCATTACTGAACCAGAAAAAAGTATTTAAGTAATAAAAGCAAAGTATAAATCTATAACTAAAAGGAAAATAAAAGCAAACTACATTTAGTTCTTGTTTGGAGGGCAGAAGGAATGATATGGATATTAACTCTGAGTATTAAGGGAAGACACTAGTGCATCCTATAACAAAATGACAAAATAGAATCCACGGCAATAATGCACAGTCTCATATTGATAAAAGGTATAGCACATCATGTTAAATAAAAGTTTATATACCTCATTCAGCTTAAAATAACACATAATAAGCAAAAGTTGATTAAAATACAAAATTCATATTAGAGTAGAAAATTAACATAATTCCCTTAGAAAATAACATCAGAATGAAAACATGACACAAAGGAACAAAATACATAATTAACAACCTTAATTATGTATATGTATAAAAACTTTGTACATGCTTTAAATACAAATGTTTTAAGGGAATAGTCACCAAAAATCACTACATATTAAACCACCCAGAAAATCTAAAAACACTTTCCAAAACAAAAACCAATCAGATTATAGTGTACATTACTGACTGAAATGTACTAAAATTAGAAGTTAAAAACCAAATAGCTAAAAGGAAAAATCTATCCAGTTTTAATTTAAAAAAAAAAAGAAAAAAAAAAAGAACCTTGGAGTTAAACAAGAAACAAAACAGTAAAGATAAATTTCAGCAATGACAGCAGAGTGAAATCCCCAGGATGTTACCAGAGATTACAGGAGAGGGCAACATACAGCTTTAAATACTGGAAATCATAACAATAAAGAAAAAAAGCTTTCAATTCAAGACGGTAAAAAAAAAGAAAAGGGAAACTGAAGGATCCTGGAAAAAATTAGTAACAATGAAAGAAAAAATAATGACATAGAGAATAGAAGTGCAGTTAATCCATAAAATCAAAGTCTGATTCTTTGAAAATAATAGACAATCCTGAACCAAGTGTCAATGTTAGGGATCAGGGCACTCTAAGACACATAAAATTGAACCAAAGTTCCTTAATTCAGCAACATGTGATAATTTAGTAATAGATCAGTATTAATCCTTGTCCCTACTAATGCTACTACATATTTGTGAAAAATCACTGACTGATTCTGGCATAATAAATTAACACTACATTAGCAGAAAGACTACTGTCCACTTGTTTTTTAAAGGAATTCTGTATTTATCTCAACTACACAATTACACAAAATTGAAATAAATACAGAGTTACCCATAAACTCCACCCAATTCATACTTTACCAACCATTTATCGAACTGGTAAGCATCCTTCCAGACACTTTCCTTTTCCCTTTTTAAAAGTGTTATTAGGCAATATTTGTAAGGAAAAAAAAAAAAAGAACATTAGAGTGCATACCTATGTACCTACCACCCAAGTCAGGAAATAAATAACACTAATACAACTGAAACCCTCCCTCTAGGTATGCCTGCCCTTCTGAAGTAACTATTTTGACCTCATGCATTCTTCAGTACTTTACTACATGTCCATTTACCCCTAAACAATATAACACTGTTTGTTTCAAACTTTTATATAAGTGTTTAATACTGTAAGTACTCTCTTACCAATTTCCTTTTCTTAAACATTCTGTTTGTGAACTCCAGCCATGATGACATACAAAATTCATTAATTTTCACCAATTTCATTGTATGAATATCAAACAAGTATTCCCCTACTTATGAATACACAATAATGCTGTTAAAAACATTCTTTTGAGTGACGCCTGGGTGGCTCAGCAGTTGGGCGTCTGCTTTGGGCGCCAGGGGGAATCCTGGAGACCCAGGATTGAGTCCCATATTGGGCTCCTTGCATGGAGCCTGCTTCTCCCGCTGCCTGTGTCTCTACCCACCCCCCCACCCCCGTGTCTCTCATGAGTAAATAAATAAAATCTTAAAAAAAAAAAAAATTCTTTGAGGGAAGCCTGGGTGGCTCAGTAGTTGAGCATCCACCTTTGGCTCAGGTCATGATCCCAGTGTCCTGTGTCAAGTCCTGCATCAGGTTCCCCACAGGGGGCCTGCTTCTCCCTCTGCCTATGTCTGTGCCTCTCTCTCTCTCTCTCATGAATAAACAAAATTTTAAAAAAAATTCTTTGAAAATCTGTGTACATGAGTGAGAGCATCTCTAGGGTGTGTACACAGGAAGAGAATTGCTGGGTCTCAGGGTTGTGTAAATCTTTAACTTTAGTAGACACTGACAAACTGTCTTCTGTATACTACAAGAGTTCCCGATGATCTATAGTCTTTTTTTAATTTTTATTTATTTATGATAGTCACACACAGAGAGAGAGAGAGAGAGGCAGAGACATAGGCAGAGGGAGAAGCAGGCTCCATGCACCGGGAGCCCGATGTGGGATTCGATCCCGGGTCTCCAGGATCACACCCTGGGCCAAAGACAGGCGCCAAACCGCTGTGCCACCCAGGGATCCCCCCGATGCACTTGGATTTGTCTGACTTTAGTTCTTCCCAACGTGAAAAGTATGAAACAGTATCTGATCTTGGTTTCATCTACCCTGATTATTAGTGAAGTTAAACATCATTTTTCACCTTCAGACATTTGTTTCCTCTTCTGTTAATTCTTGGCTTCCTTTTCTGATTAGACCTGCTCCACTCATCAAAAATCTCTGACTCAAATATTCTAATGAAATGTTTTAGTGAAGCCTTGTTATTTATAGTGGGCAGGAACCATTCAATAACCCTTTCTTTTCCAGAACAGTCTAACATGAAAAGCAGTGTCTTGGTTTACAGAATAAAAATCAGTATAAAAATCAGCACTCTTCAATGTGCTCTTCAACGTGTGTCTTTCATCTTCTGTAACATGCACTTCAAATGATGAGAAGCCAAATGGAAGAGTGCTATCTATGAAGATATCACATACATGTAGTATTAAGGCACACTGTTCCAAGATTAAACTAAAAGTTATAGAAGCTGACCACACCTTCAACTTAACAAATCCTTAAAAATTATTAGTAAATTCCTATATGACCTTCAAAACAGATACAATCCCAAGGGACAGAGCTGACACAAGCTGAAAAGCAGTAAACACTTCCACCCCAAGTAGATAATTCATGACAAGACAGAACACAATAATGTGTTGGACTGAATACGGGGTAGTTGGGAATGCCAGGGGCTACCAAGATTCTGGAATCCACCATTCAGCAGGTGTCTGTATGTCTTGTACAATGAGATAGACAGTAAACATGATAACCTGGGATGTGATACCTCTATCTGATCCAATTCTATTCCATGGATGAGAAAATAAAGCAGAAATCAAGTGTACTCTTCAAGGTCACAATTAATAAATGATTCCCATGACCAAATTCTTCATAATGAACTGTAATATTCATAGTACCCTTCCAATATGAGTCTCAATGACTGTTAAAGGATATGCATAGGGAAAAACTGATGAGGGGTGCTACCAGAAGAATCTAAGAAAATAGGAAATGTTCTCAGACCGTAAAAGAATTATAGTAAGTACATGATGGTTACCTTAAATGATAACTTACTCACTTTTCTCTGTGCTGACAAATATATTTTAGACATTTTCCATCTAAAGAGTAAAACAAACTGAGTGCCAGCTGTAGGCATATATGGTATTCATGAAACCCAATCTGTTAATTAAGATGCATTTAAGAAAGTCCCTTAAAAATTATTTTCAGATAAACAACAACCAATTTGACCAACTATGCTCTAGCTGGTGGAATTCAAGTGGGCAAATACTGGAAGAAGGTTACCTACCTACTGCAGGTGCATCATACTCATCACCAAGCAGAATTTCTGGAGCAGAATATGCAAGAGATCCACAGCTTGTGGTGAGCTTCTTCCCTGGTTGAAATTTGTTGCTGAAACCAAAGTCTGTCAATTTTACAAGACCTTGTTTTTCAAAGAAGACCACATTCTCTGGTTTTAAGTCTCTGTGAACTACATGGAGTTTATGGCAATAAGATATAGCATGAACAATCTGAGCAAAGTACTTCTTAGCCAAATCTTCATTAAGTCCCTCTTCGTGTTTCATTATGTAATCGAACATATCTCCTCCATCCCCAAGTTCTAGAATAAGATATAGTTTGGTCTGAGTGTCAATAACTTCATAAAGGCGTACAATGTTGGGATGCTGCACTAGTTTCATGCATCTCACTTCTTGGAAAAGATGGCCAGTAGCTAAAGTGTCCAATTTTGTCTTGTCAATAACTTTTACTGCTACTTTTTCACCTGTAAAGACATGCCTGGCAAGTTTAACCACTGCAAAATGACCTCGACCCAAGGTTTTATCCAGATCATATAATCCAGCAATCTTTCCATCATATCCTCGCTTGAATCCTGCCATGCTGGTCCAACAGAAGGAAACAGATCTAGACTGTTTGAAATAGATCTTCTCATATAAGAGTATCTGGTGAAAATAAGGAATTCATTTTCAATGTCGTCATGAACATCTACAAAACAAGAGGAGAAATAAAATTAAGGTTCTGTAGCTTTTTCTTTTATAGCTTTCTCTTTTTTAAGAGAAGCCTGCAGTAAACAGAGACATAAAATGAGTAAGGGCCATTTATAAGAACCTATTTATATATTTTGGGTTTATGTTACAAAGGTTGAGAATTTAAATGCCATATTAAATTTTGCAAGCTGAAAAAAATTAGTTGAAACAAGTTTTTGGTGATGTCAAATAAAAAAAGCTGGCAAGTCTGATAAACTATGTTTAAAAAAAAATTTTCCAAAAGTAATTTCAATTACTGTCTTAAAAAGTAAGTCAAGAATTGGCAAAAAGGGAAAAACAGAATAAACATTTGGACAGAAACCCAACAACTTTTTCCTGTTATTCCAAAGCTAGCACTATTTCCTTTAAGTACAAAGTCCTTTAATGAAGCCTCCTCTAACTCTCCCAGCTGAAATTACCTTCCCTACTCTACATCTCCCCAGCAGTTCAGGACATCTGTGTGGTCTTATTCCATAGGTTTTTGTATATACCATCCCCATCTTAAGACTGCGAGGGTCCTGAGGACTCTAAAATTCTATTTTTTTTTCCTTCTACCCTCCCCTGAAGAGTGTTTTAGATATAACAAGTAATCAACAGTTTATTAAATTTTGAAATTCAACCTCTTTTTAAAATGCTTACAGGGGAATTTTTTACTCTTGTGTCACTAGTGTTTAGAACAATATCTGACACACAGTAGTTGCTTAATAAATGTTTGCGGACTGGTACTCAATCTTTGTACTTATCAGTTATGCTTATCTGTATTACAGTTTTCCAACTCTCAAACATAACCTACCATGATCTGACTAAATTTCAAAAACAAGCATGCATGCATTCTTAAACCACTTTAAAGACCATTTGGTTTTAAAGACCATATCTCATATGGCATTTAAAATTCTAAACCTTTATAAACTCTAAATACAGAAACAGACTTTTATAAATGACCCTCAGAAAAACAAATGTATAAAATTATACAAATTTTAAATTTAAGACATCACTTTAAATCTCACAAATTCAACTCTCGCTATTACTTTTTCTGACCCAAATTTAGTAGAATTATAGCAAAATTCAAAGAGGAATACAGCCACTTCCCAAGACTAGCTCTGTCCTATGAGTGTATACCCTTCCCTCCATGAAACCTTTTCTAATACATGTTTCCAGTTGTTTTATTAAGTACTTCTTATCTACTGCCACTTAGAAGAAAAATACCCCCCAAAAGTAAATTGTACATAAAATGAGGAGTTTTTTAAATTTTAAAGCACATGCATTACATTTCGTTAGATCTCATTTTTGCTTAAAGGAACAGAAGAAAAACTGACATTTATTAAAAGCCTACTATATGTATTTGTGCAAAATGAATCAAAGTGCTACAACTAAGATTCAAACTGAATTTTTATTTCAAAGCCCATCTTCTTTATAAACATTTAACCACTCTAAATGATGTTACATTTAGGATAATATCTGGAGAGTTAAAGTACCAACAATAAAAGAGGCATAAAGTTATTCTCACATGCAAATTAAAATGATCTCAAACACATATCTGGGGTCACCTCAAAATACATACATATATATACACACACACAGAGAGAGAGAGCGAGCACGTACACACATGTGTGCACATGCTTAAAGAGCCAACGTTAGTATGTTTATTAATTTTTTTACATTTTAGTAATTACTGTAAATATAAACTACCATTCACTAAGTATAATATGCCACTTATATACCAAATGCTTTATATTATCCTCATTTAATCCTTACAATTGCCCTCAGAGATAAGGATTATTAGCCCCATTTTAAGGCAAAGAAATGGTTAAGTCACTTGGCGCTGGCTAACAGGGCAGAGTGTAAAAGATACAGGATTTAAACCTAGGGCCCTAACTTCAAAATCTGTGCTTTTAACAACTATGCTATACTGTTTCTGCAAACCAATTTCAAAACCAAACTAAATTAATCCTGTTTCTCAAAGATTTTTAAAACAAGAAACCAGTACTATGTACAGGTATTGGAGAAAAAGCAAATTTCTACCATACTGTGTATTATCTATCTTGTCATCTGAGCTAATAATTTTAATGGGATTAACAGGAAAATCAGAGTGGCAAGATATTGCTTTATTTGAAGAGTAGTTCCCCAAAAGAAAATTTAATTCAGGCATATTTTATTTTCAAAAATAGAAACTCTAAGCTAATTCCAGGGAGCAGAAAACTATCTTTAAATCTTAATTTTGATTAATTATAAGGGCAGTGATTAGTTTTAAAATTCTACCTGAGTCTATGTTTCTGTTGTACAAGCTTGCAAACACAACTTAAGCTTTCAGAACAATTTCAAGCCACCCCCAAGTTTTAAAATATTTGGTTTTTTTCATCTATCGCTTTAGTTTAGACCGATTTTTATAAAGTGGCATATAAATCAGATTTTAGAAATAAATCTCAATTTAATTAATTAGGTTTTGAATCCACTAGCAAGTTGATGGGAAAGAATCAAAGGAGGTCTCTTCACAATGAGACTACCCTAGAGTCAAATAATAATCACTTTCACTATCAAGAAATTTACTTTTTGTACTTTGTTTTGTACACATATCCCTTTGCCAGGGTCTATGAAACTATAATTATACACTAAAAACAGGACATTATGATTAACTGAAGGTGAGAAGGAAAAAGATCCTTGTTATTGAACATCTTTTTAAGTACGAGTCCACTAAGCAATCCTACCATCAAGTGCATTTTGTGTTAGCATAAGAAATAACTAAATTTTTTATCTTTGAGGATCTTCAGTCACTCTAAACAACAATGTCAAATTCTAAGATGTGGCTTACATAAAGTACAGGTGACTCTGCAATGGCTCCAGCACATACCCTGCAAACCACATACTGAATAATCCTTGTTACCACTGTGTTTTGTTAGTTGCTTCTTTTTCCTAAAAAGAAAATACAGGAGGAGATTTTAGTTTAGTTCTATTCAACTGCTTAAAGTCAAAATATACACCCTAAGGCTGGATCCAGACAAACATATAAAAATGGTAAATTTGTCCTTAGTGACCAGTCTCCTCTCCCGTCATCTTTCTCCCTCTGTGAATTACAACCCACTCAAACAATCGTGAGTGAACAGGAATTTCACAGTGAACAGATACACAGAGATTGTTCCAGGTGGCCCAGTCAGACCATTCCACTAGGTGGAGGAGGAAACAATAATCATGAACAACAGTGAATTGACCGTTTTCTAAATGCTTTCTGGGTAACAGACACCAAATCCACATTTTGTGGACCATCACTAGGAGCCTGCAAGCTACGCACAATGAGGCTCGACTTGCCGGATCAGCAGCAGTGGGCAACTCCAATCCTGCCTAGCCTAGTTTCCAAGCCTAGCATGCCTGTAGGAACCCTTGACAGCTCATGAAACACTCACTCCCACAGCCAGGGAGGGCAACCTTTACAACACACAACCTTCCAGCAAGTCAGCAGAAATCAATCATAAGGCCAGCATCTGAGAACACATAAAGCAGAAGATTCCAATTCAACAGTAAAAAAGAAACTATCACTACAAACAGAGAATGTGAACAGATCACTGATATATAAGTCTGGCATGGTGAGAATACCGTGAGAATAAAGGTTTTACGGTCCTTTCCACAACACTGAAATGTCCCACAAATACTGAAAGGCCTAAACATTCACACTAGGCCGAGGCAATTTACACAACACACTAAAGGTGAGCATCCAGGTAATCATTAAGCTCACAAACAGGGCCAGGTCATGGGCACAGGCCCACATCTAGAGACAGGTGAACCCTGGACGCTTACCTGCTCGTTCAGTAGCAAGTGGGATATGGTAGCTCCTGACATTAGCCTTGCTTGCTTCTCTCCTTCTACCACTCAGGCAAGGCAGTGTGGTAGTCCAGTGCGGGTGAGCACTGGTTCTGAGCACCAATGACTGGATCTGAATCCCACTCCACCTATCACTAGCCACGGGACCTCAGCAAAACTTGACTCTACGATCCGTTTCCTCATTAGAAAATGTTAGTAGTAAGGATACAACTTCATAGGTCGTGGTGAAAATTAAATGAGTTAGTATAGGATAAGTGTTTAGAATTAAGCCGGGCAGAGAAACAGTAAATACTGGTTACCACCGTCATTGTTAAAATGATGGCATTCTCTCTCATGCAGGTAGAAATTCTTCCACCCTACTTCAAGAGACTGAATTTACTGATCTGTTCAGTTTCCTAAAATGTATTAAATTGAAAATGACTGAGGTATGACTTTACATAAAGAAAATACTATCTCTAGTTGGGCATCAAAGCATGATGATTTTTCTTTTCTTTTCTTTTCTTTTTAAGATTTTATTTATTCATGAGAGACACAGAGAGAGAGAGGCAGAGACACAGGCAGAGGGAGAAGCAGGCTCCAGGCAGGGAGCCCGATGTGGGACTCGATTCTCCCTGGACTCCAGGATCACGCCCTGAGCCGAAGGCAGGGACCAAACCGCTGAGCCACCCAGGAATCCCCCTGATGATTTTTCAATAAAACATCCCACAAAAGCTAAGTATTTGCTTTTAAAATTATATCAAGATGACCTTCTTTCAAATCTACCTTTTTAAAAAGAACTAAATGTTCCTTCACATTTTTTCCTTCTAAAAGTAATACATTCTTACAGAAAATCTGGAAAATACAGACTAGAAGTAGAAAGAATAAAAAGGCATCCATAGCCCTACCACTGACGATAAAAACTATCAGTATTTTGGCGATCTTTCTGCAAATATTTACATACAGCTTCTTCTTTATTCTGTTTTACAAAGATGTGATCATTCTATAGATAACTTTATGTCTTCTAGTCTTTTTTTGCCTAATGTATTACTTTCATTCGTTTTAGTATTTTATTTCTATGATGAAGTTATGAAAGAAATACCTGTACAACATAGGAAAATATACAATTAGAACATATAAACTGGCAAAAAGAGAGAAATTTTTTTCAAAACATCAATTTTTCTACTCTCTGGGACAATCTCTGTTAACAGTTTGGTACACAGCCTTTCCAATTATTTCCTACATGTAATATATGCTCAGACACAACTTTTTAAATAAAATGTAATATATGCAAACACAGGAACAGAAAGAGAAACAGGTCTATAACATTTTAAAAGTAATTCTCTCTACAAAACAAGTTGATACGAATTCACTTTAGAAAATTTGGAAAATGTAGAAAAGCACAATCTGGGGGTGGGGATAAAGAAATCACCTGTAATTTCATCTAAGCTAACCTCTCTTCAGCTATGAATACATATCCTTTATACCTACATTTCTTTACAAAGCTAAGATACTGAATATGAAGTTTGATCCTACTTTTTCCTCTACTTTATATAATGAACATTTTCCCATGCACTTGCTTGCATATCAGTATTTTTAATGGCTACATAACAAATATGACGTCTTTTAAAACAGCAAAACCACTAAATTAGGCTATTCTAAAGCAGTCACACAAGCACATAACTAGGCTGGACCTAAATGAAACCAGTCAAAAGTGTTTATAATATGGAAATTCATGTTTGAGAAACAACTCCCAGTATATGTTGCAAGAATATACTGATATCCTCCCAACTAAAGAGAAGCAAACTGAAGTGTACGGGTGTGGCTGGAGAAGAGGAAGGAAGAGTGGGTGGCCCTACACACATTTTGCAAGCTGCTGAAAACACTTGTAGAACCAGCCTCTGTTAAATCTACTGTCAATTTGGAATTCGCCCTGTTATTCTTCTCGAAATTCACTTTCAGATTTTCACTGACATCACCACCACTGCAGTGTGGTCTGTGTATCAAACAAATGTCTCCTACTCACATCTTTGGGGAGGACAAAACAGAATACTGAACAAAGGTAGCTCTGCATGCCCAATCCACAGCATGAGAAAGTAGAGGAATGGAACAAAAAGGGCCATGTCTTTTCCTACATTTTATTTGGGATATTATAAATTTCCTCCTAAAATCGGACTACCAATATTTAAAATATGTAAAACCTCTCCCAAAATTAAGTGCTTTTAATAAAAAATCTGTGCCAATGAATGCTCTCGAGGACTTTTTGCAAAGACACACTAAAACTGCATTTAAGCTTCTTACATATGGAAATATTCTGGTTATCTTTTAGAGATACCAAAAATGCAAACTGTAATTTTTACTCATGGAAAATGCTAAACTGCATGCTGATAGAAAAACTAAGTGGAGGAATTAACACTGTCTCAGTGAATACTACCACCCCGATCTTACTGCTGAAATTTCAGATACCATAACAAAAATGGCATAGGATGAAAGGAAGACAGTAGACTAAATCCTCCGAGAATATCAACAACCTCCTGGTCAAGCAAATAAACACAATCCTACATGCAGTTGCCACTGCTGTTCCCTTTATCCAAAATAAACAATATTCTACATTTCTAGAATAGCACTCCTCCTCCTGGGAGTTACCAATATAAGCCATAAATCAAAGATGAAGAAACCACAAATAGGCCAAGAGGTCCTAAGTTATGGAAGGATCAGAGTTTTTCACTGGATTGGCTGGATATTACAGTGTAGTTATCATATGCTATTATGTGGTTATCAGGCTGCACTCACTGGATGGATTCAAGATTGGAAATTACAAATTAAAAGGTTAAATTCTTAAAAAAAAAAAAAAAAGATTTATCTATTCATGAGAGACAGAGAGAGAGATTGGCAGAGACACAAGCAGAGGGAAAAGCAGGTTCCATGCAGGGAGCCCGAGGCGGGACTCAATCCAGATTCCAGGACCATGCCCTGAGCTGAATGAAGGCAGACGCTCAACAATGAGCCACTCAGGCATCCTGGTTAAATTATTTCTTATGAGAAATGTCCAAATAGGCAAAATTGTACCTCCAAATGTCTAGGAAAGTATTTTCCAAGGGAAGATAACTGCCTACTCAAGTATATTCTGCAAGTACTCTTCCAAGCATTCAATTTTAATGGACGGGGAGTAACCAAAGTGACCAGGAATGGCAGGCTGAAAGGACTGTTCGGCTCTTCAGACAGCGACTGGGTCACAGATGTAGATCAATCTCATGAAGCATTGGTTTACATAATCCTTATTTTCTCTAAGTGAAACTAGCAATGGTCCAGGATATATCAAGGAATGTTAATGTATCCGGGAGTCAGGCGATTTATTAACTGATGTAGAGTAGTACTAATTATTTGTAAAGAGAAAGAGGTTAACATCCAAACCACACTATCAGGACCAGCAGTGCAGATGATAAGTTTAAATTCCTAAACAGAATCTGCCTCTTGTTAAAATGATAAAAAAGGCTAAATGTGTCACCATTTCTGGTGACAGCCTGGTATAACACACGCATGTAATAATGACTTGAGCAAAAGCAGGTATGTAAAAGTTACTCCAAAATAAATAAAGCTAATCCACAATTACTCTTTGTTGCCAGGAAGACAAGAGAAATTGGAAGTTTGGAGAATTCAAAAACTTAATAATCTAAATCTTTTTATTTATTTATTTTTTTAATAAATTTATTTTTTATTGGTGTTCAATTTACCAACATACAGAATAACACCCAGTGCTCATCCCATCAAGTGCCCCCCAATAATCTAAATCTTTCTTCCAAACTTTTATTAAAATGCTATCAGTACTCATTTTCACTCCCCATCTTTTCTTTCCCTGCTGATTTGTGATGAAGATGATCATTAAAAAATGGTCAAAAAAGAATACTGGAACAGAAAAAAAAATAAACCTATAAACAAAAATACTGATACTTAACATTACATTGACTTTGACTTAAAAGGCTACATCATTTGAGATTCTCATATTGTTAAGACTAAAATTATCTGATTTCTAAAAATTTAATTTCTGAAATTTCTGAAAAGCAATGTGGCAATATATACATTAAGAGCCTTAAAATACTCACCTTGATTTAATAATCTCA